CCCGGCGTCTAAAACACTTTAAACGATAACATCACACTTGACCTTCTGTTGTTAATATATCAATAGATCTGATTTAGTACAAATATATTCTTTGCCATAATTGAACCCTCAGAAATGCAGCTTCCTAGATTCTTTTATGTTCATTAAACAATCATTTACTGGCTGTAAATTTTAAACTTTAACCCCCAGGTTATTTTTATAATCTACACAGTGGCTAAAGTCTCCACCATTTTCAAATTTAAAATTTTATTCCATACTATGTGATACTTTGTGGAGGCTTCATATTGGTCATCATCTTGTTCTGGCAGATATCAATGTGCATCAATGAATCAATAATGGAATAGTCCAACACTTTAGGTATAAAAAAGAAATCTAACGGGATCTAAAGGTGTTGAAGCACCGCGTAGACAATTATCAAGCTACCAAAACCCAAATTGCATGCCTCAAAGTTGTTAAATGTTTTTTTTACAATCAAAGGTAAACACTCCTAATTATTCAATTTCCATTTGACATTTTTTAAAGGCAAGAGAAAACAGTTTAGATTAGAGTTTACGTTAAATTTAAAGGAGAAAATGTAGTATGGCGTGCCCTAGGAAAAGCATCATTTCTCCCAAATGCAGACATTGGATTTTTTTCCAAACACACTTTTGCAAGGTCATCTTTTTCAAAAAAATAATGTCTTTTTAAAATCTTTGGCATTACGCATTATACACAAAGTAGATTTAGAATAAGCCCTATAATAGCTATTAAAATAGATCTGATGTTTATTTGGAGACGTAGCATTTACTACGCCTTTCAAAAATTATGCCATAAAAAAGCTGTTATATACATATTTTGGAAAACTTCATTAGTTACATGGACTTTTATTTGGCATTAGTTGGAATTTGACGTTCAGTTACATTTTCAAAAAGCCAAAGATACTGTATGAAAAAACAGATGCATGGAAGTAAACTTTATTGACACACCTCGAGTCATAATCTTCCGCGTCCCCTATTTCCCACAACACCTACTAGTTCTATTAATCAGAATCGTTTCCGGTTGGTTAATGGCATTACGAGTAGGCCATTCAGCTGCACACATAGATGATTGGTTGCACCTCATGTAGCTCCCCAATTTTGTTATAGTGTAGAATACCCCAGCCCTAATAGGAAAATGACTGGTACAACAGAACAGGCTTCATCGACTAATCACAAGCCAGAGCCACGCGTCAGGCGCTTTCCATCCGAGTCCACCACGCTGACCACGTCGCTCAATATATACTGCATCTCATCCATGTCCTTCTCTGGTTGGCTGCTTATCTTCCTCGCATGCCATCGGAACACAGAGACACAGGATTGGCTGAGGTCAGGTGGTCCAAAATGA